ATTCAGGATTTTCAACAATAGAAAAAGGTTGTAAATTAGTTGCAACAGCATCAATCAAAGAATTTGTGATTGATTTAAATTGTGATGGGGAATAGGGTTTAAAGTGCATTTCTTTTAAAGTAATTTGATGATTTTCAGGTGTTTTATAATGTAATGAATGTTTTTTAGTTAAATGATTTCGAAGTGTTGTTGTTGGGTTGCTAGGGAAATAAAGTTTAGCATATAAAGTGCATTTATAATTTTTAATTAATCCATTTTTCTAATCTAGAACTTTTAAAAAAAATTTCACACGTCTGAATTACGAGTTTTTGTTGTATGAGTTTCTTCTTCGACTAAGAAAACTGAAGAAACATCTGAAATATTGTCGTCATTTTCATAAGAAATATCAATCTCCTCTTCTGTCCATACTGGCATCACACGTGTATCCACATGATGGAATTTCTGGTATTCATGAAAATATTTTTTGCGGGTTGAGCAAAGAAGAACTGTTCTTGCTACAACATCTTTTGGTGATATTCCATCAACAATATACCAGGTATTTTTTTTCTCCAAATATCTTTCAAATACTTCAAGTGGGTCTTTTTGAATGATGAAAGCGTTTTTAGGTCCAGTAATTAAGACTGCTTAACTGACATTTCGTGACTTTTCCCATACTATAGTATCACCATACTGGAGCAATAAGTACAACAGAAAATAAACAAAGTAGGTTTTTCCAATTCCAGGATTACCATGGATCATGAAGTACGGATCTTTCGATCCGCTATTCACTTTTTCCAATATAATCTTTGCAAGATCCCGATAACATTATCGTATGAATAAGTTGGAGTGGTAGTGAGGCTTGCCTTCAAAACAAATATTATCTGGAAGCATCAGAAATTTATCATTGATACCAAGTTGAATCTTAGATAATTCATTTATAAATCAAACCATCTCTTGAGATGGAATTGTGATATCAAGCTTGAGTTTTTTTGCATTACCCATACTTCGTTCTTATAAATAATGGAAGAAATAAAAGGCAAAGTTATTCGTTTTTACACTTCTTTTGCTACCAGAGTATAACGACTTCAGAGAATCAGAATATATTAGCATACCTTGAAGTTCTTGCCCTATATAATAAAATAAATAAGAGATACAAGTTAATAATTGAAATAATAGCGAGAAAAGCAGTGTAGGTTTGGTATATTCAAATGCAGGCATGGTAAATGGTCGATAAGTAAAGAAGAAAAGTACGAGATTGATTAAGTATTCAAAATTAGTAAATATAACAGCGCACATGAAGCAATGGCTATAAAGTCAAGCCAAACTTAAAGCATGCGAGGCGTACAAACATTAAACTATTTTTAGGACCTACTTTGAATATTCAACTGTTCAACAAGCTCTGCGATTCCTGACGCTGGCCTGCCAGGTAGATTGTAAGGAGGATTTAGAAGTTTTTGTTCAGTCAAACGAAGGAACGTATGACCAGAGATCTCTTGGTCTGCTAAGATATTAATATGATCATCATGAAGAAATAACGCCTCTTTCTTGGTGTTTAAATAAATAATAAAATCCGCTGGATTCAAAGTTTCAACTTCTTCGACTGACAGATTAGCATGAATAGTGAACATTTTTAAAAAATATATTGAGACAAACTTTATACAGTTTAGAAAAAAGAAAGAATTTGCAGAGCAAGGATTTGGGACGTATTTATATGAAATCCAATCAGTCAGATGATCCATAACTTACGTCACTAAATTCATAAAATTTGAAGCCCGAAATGTGGGTGAAACTTTATTAATAATTTTTCAGATACAGTAATAGTGAGAGAAATGTATGATGCTATCAAAGAGGAAGGGAGTATTCAGATCCTAAGCCATAAATGAGAGTTCTAGCATCATATTATTTCTCAAGTTTTTGAAAAAATTTATAGCTAATTTGTTTCTTTGTCTCACATTCTTTTACTACACTAGACTTCCGAAATAAATTATCCCGCCCATATCTATAGAATTTTTGACTAATTATATCTCTTCCACCCGTACAGGCTATGTAAAATAACATTTCCCGCAAGAGAACTTTCTTGATTTTGAGTAATTTCGAAACTATAGCACAAATTCGGAGATTAGTAACTGTGATAAAAAAAAATAAGAAATGCAGTATTTAGCAAAGCGCTTTTTGACCCGATTCATACTTACTGCTATGGTTCATAATATTCTATTCCATCTTACTTAATGTGTTATAATAAAATGTTTTGATTTTTTTATTGCCAGGTGTATGCAATTGTGTCAAACTCCAAAAATTCAGCATGATTTCATTGCCAGTTGATATACTATGCCAAATCCTTGCCCATTCGTGATCAGATAATTCATTATTTAATGCCAATATCGATTTTGCAACTTGAGATTTTTCTGAGGTCGGAATTGGAGAGAAATATTTGCATAAAAATAATATGACTCCTATAAAGATTATATACATTATAGCATTTCCTAAAAAATGCCTTAGAGCACCTCTATTATTAGGACACCCTGGGTTAGCATCTCATAGATTATAATTATGATGCTGAAGCATTTTGTGATGAGAGATTAATTTGAGAGATTTGTTTGAGAAATTGGTTTGAATTAGATTTGATGAAGTTTTTGAGGTATATCCCTATAAGAAATCGAAATAAGGAAATGATATGTTTTTTATAAGGTTTGTATATGTAATTAATGATTCTATATCAAAATTCCGTAT